ACCTAAATGCTACCTAAACTACCTAAAAGTACCTAAATGCTACCTAACTTAAAGGTTTTAAGACGATAGCTAAAAGCAATAAGTGTTAAAAGACCAGTGAGAAGTTAATCATAGTAAAATGCTTGATAATACTACTAATTAAAATGACAGTTTAACATTAAAATTAACATAATGTAGCCAAAAGCTAAAAGTATCAAAAAACTAATTGAAACTAGCCTTATTCAAGCATAAGTTAGCAAAATGCTAGCTGACAACATCTAAAAGTATCAAATAGCTTGCTAGAAGTGAAGCTTTGCAAAAGGCGGGCTAAAAGCTCAAAGTAGTAAAAATGCCTGCTAAAACTACTTTCTTCAGCAGCTCCCTTCTTTAGAGGTCACCACAGCGAGCTCACATGAAATATTTGGAAAGTGTTTTCACGGGATGCCCTTCCTGACTCAACCTGGGCTTGAACCCGCAACCTCAGGATTACAAGACTGCAGCACTAGATACAGCTGCCATAATCTGACAATGCATGCTAAAACTGCAGGTAGCAAAAGGTCATCTCATAGCTAAAAGTAGCAGAAGAGTAACTTAAAGACTAAAAGTAGGAAAAGTTTAGCTTATTTTATTTATTTGTTCTTCTTCTTTCGGCTGCTCCCTTCTTCAGAGGTCACCACAGCGAACGAACTCGCACAAAGACTTGGCAATTGTTTTTTCATCGGATGTCCTTCCTGACACAACCACAGACCACTGAGCTACCACAGCCCCCTGTGTGGAGCAGAGAGCTGACATCTAGGGTGCCTGTGGGAGCAGATGGTGGGGGTTAAGGGCCTTGCTCAAGAGCCCAGAGTGGGGCCTTTTTTTGTCAATACGGGGTCAAACTGGCGACCTTTCAATCACATGCTCGCCTTCTCTAACCTCTGCGCCACCACTCTTTCAAAAGTAGCAAAAGGTTAGCTTATGGGTTGCTAAAATTATTCAAACATTAGCTAAAATCATTGAAAGGCTAGCTAAAAGTACCAAATTGCTTGCTAAAACTTAAAGTAGTGAATGGACAGCTGTAAGCTAAAATTAGCAAAAAGCTAGCTAATAAAAGTTTTTGTAGTTTTTGTATTGAACGCTTTTTGAATAGCTAATAAAAGAATCAGAACAGTAGCTAAGAACTAAAAGTAGCTTAAGAGGAAGAAAATGGAGCAACTTCATTGAAGCACATTTTAAGGAGAACACATTTTTAATATTTGTAATTGTAGTTAAATATTTTGAAAAGTTTAAACGTGAATGAGCTCAACGTTTTGATACTGCAGTGGCTAAATTAGCACAAAGTATGTAAAAGTAGTTGGATAAGATTTTGGGGAAAAACTGAGAAACAATGGTGTGAATCCTGAATGCTGATTCACTCATTAAGGATTCAATAAATCTAAACACCTTTTTTCACCAATACTCTCTGCACATGTTGCTTTTTTTGGTGACGTTTTTTAAACACATTTTGTTAATTATTAGAAATGTAAGATGGCTGTATGTGTTTTTCATGGTTGCCATGTTTAGATTTTGGACTACATCTGCCAAAGTCAAAAATAAAGCTGCTCCTTCTATATTTAACTCTTTCAGGACCACAGGGCCCCTTCAGTCGGCTTCTTCCTGCTCGGCCTCTCTGCACTGCTTTCCATCCTCCCTACCGTCAGCTCGTCCCTTCAGAGAGATGTAGAGTGGGCCGGGGAGGTTCTGGCCACGGCTCTGGTTTCCTTTGACTTCTTGTGGCTCAGTCGGGACCACAACACGGCTCGTATCCTCCTGTGTGGCTCCTGCCTGCTGCTCGGACTCTCAGATTGGCTCTCAACAGATACGCTGGCCCTTCTGACTCGCTGCCTCGGCCTCTCCTCTCTGTCCTGCTGCCTGACCGTGTGCCTGTTTGCCGGGAATGCCTTAGGGGCCATGGGCGGCGTGGCCCTCAGCCTTCCGTTACTCGTGGGATCGAGAGTCGAAACACACACTTTTGCTCCTCTGGTGTCTCCAGATGCTACAGAAGGACCCTTAAAATGGCTTCTTAAAGGGTTGTTGTCAGTCGGCTGTTGGGTTTTAACACGAGCTCTCCACAAGTTTCTTCTGGATATAACCGACTGATGTAAACTCGGACATTTAAACCAGTAATAATCATGTTGTTGCACAGATTACCATATTTTCCGCCGTACACGGCGCACCGCCCTATAAGTCGCATCAGTCCAAATATGTCTAAAAATGTGGAAAAATCCATAAATATGTCACTTCGCCATATACATGGCATCGATTATGCGTCACCGCTGACAACCAGAAATATGGGCCGGTGTTGTCTGCCAAATGCAAGGATACAAGGATTTTTATTGTCATTCACATCACATGTGGTACATGAGGTGGAACGAAACTATGTACACAGGGTCCCAGTTACATCCAACAAAAATACAAAGTGTAAAGAAAAACATTAGTAAGATCCGAGTCATGAACTAAGAATATACTACATTCACTAAACTAAGAATACACTAAACACTAATGGTACAAAAACAATGCGCCTAAACAACAGCAGCACAAACATGAGTCTATGAGCAGATGAGGACTAATCAAATGGTGGCTGCAGGAGCATACACAGGAGGACTTTAACAAGATTAACACTTAAAAACAATTATTTGTTTGCTCAACTTTATAGAGTAAAGGTGTGTCTCAGTTGAACTTTTCCTTAATAAATGCACTTTGATGGTCAAATCAGCTGCATTGCAAAAGTATTCGGTGCTCCAGGAGCGCACTCTGAGGAAGGAAATCAGGGAGGAGGAGCGCTGCACATTTCTTTGAAAATTTAACAAGATAAGCACCAAAAACAATTATTTGTTTGCCCGACATTATAGTAAATATGTGTCTCAGTTGAACTTTTACTTCATAAATGCACTTCATTGGTCAAATCAGCTGCATTTTGCCAGGGCGGCGCAGCCAAATGAAGCTGATTTGACGTTTGCCCCAGGCGAGCTGGACGAAGGTGGAAGACTTTGGCAAGCCGATTGTGTCATTAATAGCCACTTTTACCTATTACATGACACAATTGATTTTTTGCATTTGTCAACAGTCACGTAAACATGATGGTCAAATCCTTTGTTTTTCAGCTGAGACGGCTGTCTAAGCTGAAGCCTATACTCCAAAAAGAACCTTGAGACAGTGATCCACGCCTTCATAACATCTAGGCTTGATTACTGCAATTCACTTCTGTTTGGAATCAGTCAGTCCTCCATTGCTCGTCTACAACTGGTCCAAAATGCTGCAGCCCGATTTTTAACTGGTACAGGCTATAGAGAGCACATCACGCCAGTTTTGGCCTCCCTGCACTGGCTACCCATTCACCTTCGGATCCATTTCAAAATTCTCATGTATGTTTTTAAATCACTGAACAGTTCTGCCCCATCCTATCTCACTGATCTTCTGCAGCCATATGTCCCACCGCGCTCTCTGAGGTCAGCAGACCAGATGCTTCTCTCAGTCCCAGAAACCCGTCGTAAGCTCAGAGGTGACAGGGCTTTCTCTGTTGCAGGTCCACGACTGTGGAATGAGTTGCCACTGAGTGTCCGGCAGGCTCCCACACTCTCAGTCTTTAAGTCTCGCTTGAAGACCCACTTCTATTCTCTTGCCTTTAACACGGTGTGATTTGTTTGGTCCTGTCTGTTCTCTACTCTGTTGGCCATTTTAGTTAGCTTCTGCTGCTATTTGTATCTGTATTTTTATTTTATGTTTTCCTGTCCGCTGTGCATGTTTGTTTTCTTTTGTACAGCACTTTGGTTGGCCTTGTTGCTGTTTTAAGTGCTATATAAATAAATTGGTATGGTACAATTGCATTCCATACTAAAGTGCCATCTAGTGGCTGAAAATGGTAGTGTTCAATATTTTCTGTCAGAATGAATGAAAACCATACCATACCAATTTATTTATAGAGCACTTAAAACAGCAACAAGGCCAACCAAAGTGCTGTACAACAGAAACAAACAAGCACAGCGGACAGGAAAACATAAAATAAAAATACAGATACAAATACAAAACGGTCATATCAGCCAAAAATTGGTTTATAAATATGGGAGGGAAAAAAACAACATAAATACGTCGCTTTGGCTTATAAGTCGCAGAGCAGCAAATTATGCAAAAATGGCGACTTCTAGTCCGAAAAGTACGCTATTTGGGGATTATTGATGATTAAGGGAGATCAAATTCCTAACTCAACAAAGGACTAAAGTAAAGTGTGTTAGATGTAATTTGACCTATTTCCAACATGTTATAAATAAAAAATCTCAATCTGTTTTTTTTTTTTTTTTTGCTGTTCCTTTGAATTAGATGAGTTTTAGGAATTGTAAATGAATGTGAACCATCACATTCGATCAAACTAAGCACATTTTCAGATTACTGCTTTTTTAAGCTGCACAATCTGAGTTGCTCACGGTCTGAGTTCTATATTTTTGCATATTAAAGATTTCTTGATGCCATTTGAGAGGCTATCTTAAACCACATTTCTGCTAGGTGCAGAGAAAGTAGCAGTTATTTGAGGCTTTTCTGCTCTAAATCATCGTTAGTTGTTGGTACAGATCATTCTTCAGTCTTATATCTTAGATATTTCCTTCAAGGTACCCACTCATAATGTATTTATTCATCATCATATTTTGACTTAATTCAAAACCTGGTGATTTAATCCTCAGTTTGATGCGACGGGTCACATGTGTGTTGGCAACCTGAACATGTCATGTTTGTGTCTTAGGCATGATACATTTTCTTTTTTTTTTTTTTCATATATTTAAAAGACTAAATAACAAATGCTTTACTTATCATTTGCTAATAAGAATACATCACAAGATAGTTTAATATTTGAATCTTTGGCTTCATCAACCAGGAAGTGCCTGTGTGAGGACGAAATTTAAGTGTTATTTCCAAATGTGGTATTAAACTAGATTTTTTTTTTTACTTGAAGCATCCCTGTGAAAACATCTACGGTGCTTAAAGCTCCTGGTGTGGCGTCTTATCTCATCGTCACTTTTGGCCTCGGATGTTCAGTGCTGGTTCCTGGAACTTTTTCTTCTTTAAGCCTAGATGTTAACAGGGATGCTCGATGATGATGTCATTTAGTGGACATGTATGAATTAGAAAAGATCCTACTGAATACATCAAACCTCAGTTTTTTGTTTTTGTTTCCAAATATGAACACGTTTTTCACTAGAGCGAAACATATCCACTGCATCTCTAATAAATAAAAGTAAACCAAATGTTCAACGAAGGAAACTTCCTCCTGTATTTTCACTTGGATTTCTGAGGCATGTTGATATTAAAATATCCAAATGTTTCCATTGTTTTCTGATTGCCCTGAGTAGCTGATTATAGCTGTAGACCTCTTAACTCTTTCAGCATCCACTTCACCGTCGCCTCCTTCACCCTCTCTGTCCCTGTGAGCACTGCAGCGGATTAGGAGACCACACTGAGCATGCTCCGTGGAGAGGGAGCTTGTGGACGGAGAACAGAGGAGAGGAGAAGCAGCTGCACACGGAGCAGGGATGCTTTCAGCTCAGCAGAGGAACGGTTGAGACTGCCGGTAAAGATGGAGCCTGACGGAGGAATGCAGAAGACTGGATAGACCGACTGTCAGCAAAAAGGAAGAAGTGTTTGAGGTACAGAAGATGAGAATTCCTGATGGGTTGAAGTAACGAGTGTGAAGTCCTGTTGCATCACAAAATATTTTCTCCTCGTGCATTTTTTTAATGTGTTTGGACAATAATGAAAATAATTTTCCTGCTGTTTTAAAGGCTCCTGCAATCTGGATTGATTTGTCGTTTTCAGGGCATTTCAGACGGCGTGGAGATGTACGCCTTCTATTCTCTATTGGTCTACATCTTCTACACTGTCTTCAAAAAGGAGGAGGAGGAAGGAGCCTTGGAGGGTGCATGTGGAGCTTTCCCAAATGTACGTCTCGCCGTATCATTTCCAGCCTCATGAATAATCCGTTTATTTATTTACTGGAAACATAAAATGAGCTATAAGCAGCTCTGAAAAGAAAATCTTTTTATTGTGTGAATGGGTGCACATGTCTGTGTTTGTTATTGTCTGACCCTCAAATGTGATGCTGTGCTCAGGAACCAGAGCCTGTTTCCATGGAAACGGGGAGCAGGAGGAGAGATGGTCATACCCCCACAGTGGGCAAAAAGGCTTGTGCTCAGTTTAGTGAGTCAAGTGAGTTCATAGAAATGATTTCTATACATTTATTAAACATTTGTTGCGTGCAGTTGTTTAGTGTTTCATGTGGGGTTATCTAGGCAGCAGCAGTGACAGTGATGAACTGAGCGATGAAGATGAGGATGACCCCTCAGACATCGCTGCTTGCACTCCTCTGGCTGCCTTTTTGTCGTTCAAGCAGGAAGCTGAGAAGAGCAGAGCCTCTCAAGTTAAGCTGGAACCAACAGGAAAGGTAAAAAAACACAAGTGTTTCCCCTCCGACTCATAAATTGATCCATTTTTCTCTGCCAGTAAACTTTGTGTGTGTTTCTGTGCCACACAGCTGGCAGACTCCCCCTTGGTGGCAGTCATGTCCCACTTGCTGACTTTCCTGGAACAGTACTCCCACTTTCAGCAGCTGCAGCAGCAGGCAGACCAGTACCGGGTCCAGCTGAAGAGGCACCGCGCGCAGCACCGGCGTCAGATGAAGGCGCTGCGGTCCTCCTACCGACGGCGCCTTCGAGACAAGAACAGCATCATAAGCGGCCTGGAGGAGGCCATCGGCCAGCAACAGAGCCCCAGCCCACTGAGCGAAGGTGAGGCAGAGGAGGAGGAGAGGAGGTGAAGGATAAAATCAACATTTGTTACCAAGCCAACCTCTTAGTTAAAAATGTGTTGCCCCTAAATCGAATTGGTTAGATCTTGGTGGCAGCAAATGCAGGGACGCATTTGCGATGAGTGTGTTTTTCTGAGGTTGTGGAGGAATTCTGCTGCTGCTTCGTACCTTCGTCTTGCTGCAGAACTCGTTAGCTTGAGCGGCGGATCAGGAACTGACGGCCAGATGTTCTCCTTTTGTATTTTCTGGTAAAGAGCAGAATTTGTGGTTCCGTCAATTACAGCAAGGCATTCTGGTCCAGAAGCAGCAAAGCATCCCCAGACCATCACACTACCACCACCGTGTTTGACTGCTGACCTGGTGTTCTTTGTCTGAAATGCTAGCCGTTAGTTTTAGTCGCGCACCTTCCAGAAAGTTCCACTTCTGTCTGTCATTTCACAAAATATTTCCCAGAAATCTCAGGGATCATCAAGATGTTTTTATTTTTGTGACTTTGTGTTATTTTTGCTTATTGGTGGTTTTGTCGTGGAACTTCCCCCTCGTCTCTTGTTTTATTTGTTGTGTTCTAGGACTTCCTGGATGAGTCGTCAATGTATTCTTGTAGTAAATTTGGTCACTTCTGGGAAGGTTCTCCACTGTCCCACGTTGTCTCCATTTGCAGATATTGGCTGTTTCAGTGGTTTATTGATTCTACAGGTCTGGTGGTGACTTCATGGTTTAACAAGGGGATCGGTCACTTTTTCACAACAGGCTTGGTTGGTTTGGATAGTTTCTATTTTACTTAATGAATAAAAGGAACATTTAAAAGCAAAACCAGAAGAAATCGTTAAGGAGATGAATACTTTTCACAATTGAATGGCACTGGATAAGATCATCTAAGGTGGTCCTTTTTGATATTTCTGCCCTGTTTTCCACCAGAGAACACAATGTTCTCCCAATTAGTAGAAGAAGACAGCCATCAGGAGCTAACTGATTCAATTTGCAAGGTGTTTGTGTGACGCCACACAGAACAGACAGACTGCAGCAGTGGTAGGCCTCACACATTTAGTAAGTATCTGCTATGATTCAGATTTAATCAGATGCTTGTTTTTTCTGAGCCCATCTGCAGCCCCATGGAGCGGTCTTTCCTGTTTTATGTTTAGCTTGCTAACAGGTGCAGGTCTGGCTGCAGCCTCAGAGCAATCTGTACATTTATGAAACTCCGACTAGGTTATCGATAAGTTGGAACATTTAAGCAGAACAACTCCTGACTCATCAATTGTCTGTTACAGGAGTGGGAAAGAATCTCAGTGACACTCCTAACATGAATAAAACATGTCCGGTGGTGTTTTATCATCTAAACGCATTTACAAGGTCTGGCACATGCTGAGCAGCACGTGGAAACGTGTCGGGCTAAAAATAGCTCGAGGTCCCAGCGTTGCAAGGCTGTTGTTTGTTTGTTTTTAAATTCGTAACTTTTTTTTAAAATCTAATGCAAAGTGCAGGTCTAAGTGATACAGCATCATGACTGTGCAGGATGTCAGCCACAGTTAGTGTTGAAGGTGAACAACTGGATTGTTTTGCATTCCGTCACCTCTCGGCCTGCGCTGTGGTTCCACAAACCAGACACGCTGTGTCAGTAACATCACCTCAAGTCCCTGGACTGAAAGTAAAAGAGGCCATTGAGCCTGGTGAACCATCGAGATGCAGGAAATACTGTTCGTCATGCTGCTCGAGCTCAGGCTTGCTGCTTCTAAAAATAATCTGGGTTGATGAATTGTCCTCCTGAGGTCCTTAAATTCTCCTTTTTTAATGGAGAGTGGAACAATGACTGCAGCGTGGTGCCTGCACGTCTCACAGCAAGTGCATATTTAATGGTCATAAATATTAGACGTGCAAGCTCTCAGCTGTGTCGGGGGAACTGTTCTTAACTGAAAAGATTAAAAGTGGGTTAAAGAAAGTTACAAGTTTATCGACTGTGGCTTCCTCTACCTGGCCTGTAAGGACTGTGGTTAAACACATGATTGAGGAGAACTCGGAATGTGGCGAAATAGCAGCGTCGTTGTATAAGGTACCTCAAAGTGATACTTCAGTGAAAGTACAAGTATCTTACCGTAAAATTACTCTGGTAAAAAGTTAAAGTCTCCTTTAAAAGTTATTACTTGAGTAAAAGTCTTAAAGTATCTGACATTTAATGTACATAAGTATCAAAAGTAAATTTCTCATATAAAATGTACTTAAAGTAAGAGTATTAAGTACAAGTAAATGGTTAGAATTTCCAAAACAACATTTATTGGGTGCAATATCCAGTGAAAAAAAAAATTGGAAAGTTTGAACTGAACAACGAAAGATTGATCTTTAAAAAAAGTTTGATTCTATTGAAGTATTCAATCTTTATTAACCTTTATTAACAAAGTTGTTAGAAAGCCCACATTGTTGTGTAAGTTGGCTTGTTTACTGAGCTAGGTTCTGTTTGGTTATGGCTTGTTTCTTTCTGAATTGAATAGTTCCTATGCTCTTGAATGCACCGTGGCTGTTCCAATGCTGGTGAACGCACCACTGTGTGTAAAGTGCAGAGCTCAGTTGGAGGTTTTTTTTCTCTCTCTCCCAACACGGATGGAGCCTTGTTGTTCAAGCTTGTTTGTGCTTTACTGGTTTACTGCTGTGTGTAAATACCAGAAGAAACACAGCAAATAAATCAGCCTAAACTGGATATCTGTCTCCGTGTTCTTTAATGGGAAGACTAGTGGCCCAACAACTGCAGGTTTCACACAAGCGACGGGGGAGGGGCTGGGTTTGTGATTGACAGTGTCGGAGGGAGCGAGAAGGGGCCGCGTGAAGTCACAGACTGGGAGAACAAACAGGCATCGCCCAATCAGATTTCTTCTAATTTTATATTGTAGGAACGAGTAATGAAGATGGTTAAGGGAAATGTATCGGAGTAAAAGTACACATTTTATTGAGGAAATGTAGTGGAGTAAAAGGGAAAGTTGCTAGAAATGTAAATAACGAAATAAAGCAAAGATACGTCAAAATTCTACTTAAGTACAGTAACAAAGTATTTGTACTTCGTTATATTACAGCACTGCGAAACAGTAATCGCTCTGATTTCTTGTCTCCCAGGTGAGTGTAGCAGCGATGCGGGGCCACACGCTGGGGTGCACCGCCTGGTGGAGTCTCTGTACGGGCTGCAGAACGAGAGGAGTAAACTGAGAGGAGAACTTCGTCTGCTGCACTCCCAGCTGGAGCAGAACGAACAAGACAGACACGCCCGGATACAAGCTTTCCAACAGCAGGTAGGCGGCTCCGCATTAGTTCAGTTCTAATACCGTCATGGCCGGAGGTGTCGGCGTCCCTGAAACCTTTCCAGAAAAAAAAAGTGATTCTCCCAGAAAATGAATGCAATTACACGTTTTGTTCTAAACATGTTTGTTTAACACAATAAACAGAAGGAAAAAAAAAGCCTATGTTAATTTAGTTTTTTCTGGAAACATTTCAGGTCCAGGGGTCCAACACTTTCTGCCATGACTGGATGCGCTTCGTTTAAAAGAATAAATGCTCCCCGCTGGCTTTAGATCATGTAATAAAAGTCTGAGTCACTAAAATCTATTTAGTTAAATTTTCTGTCAAACTATCATTTTCCATTTCTGGACACATGTTTATTGTATGTTTTTTAATTAAAGGCCCAGTGTACCTTGAAGGGTGCAGAACCCCCACTGCCTGTCATGCCAGAGTTTCAAACTAAGATCGTCTTGTCTTGAGAGATGGTGGAGTTTTTACTCAAACGTTGATCGCACATATTACATCAGAGTATGTGTCGGGGATGACTCTCAGCTACCACCACACCAAAGTTCAGCTCATTTTTGTGTTTTTAAGGTCAGATGGCTGTGGCGACTGTCCTGAAGTGGGTTGACTCCAAAACGTAATCAGTTGTAGTTTTATGTTCAATGTTAATAATCTGAGAGTTTCAATAAAATTCATCCTCGGGCTCGGGGGGTATTATGCTAACAGATAGACAAGGTTGACGCCAACAGCTTGCGCTCAGGTTTAAAGTAAAGATCTCACACAACGTGGAGCATTCAGAGCATAAGTTGGAGAGAACTCTCAACAACCACCACACCAGTTTTCAACTCAGTTTCTGTGAAACTGACTGAGTTGTGGTCGCTTTTGCGTTTTCTTAGTTTCAACAGCTGTGGCGGCCATCTTGAATTCGGTTGACTCCAGATGGTAATCAGTTGTAGATGTACATCCAGTGATTTCTTTCTAAGAGTTTCATTTTAATCCTTCCACTGGTTATTGGGATTTGTTTGCTAACAGACAGACAAACCAACCAACACAAAGGCGAAAAGAAGATCGCCTGCCTTTGGGTGAAGATAAGAATAAATCCTCTACAGCGTTAAAAACTTTTCATCTTACCTAAATGTCCCAAAGCATGTTTTTAAAAAAGAAAATGTAACTGAGTAATCATCTAGGTTGAGAAATAACCGTTAAAAAGTTACATCTGATCATTTCACTGATTAATAATAGAAATAGGAGTCTTAGATGTAGCGTGCAAAGCGTTCAGCTGAATTTTAAACTGTTTCAAATTTCCAGATCGATGAGCTCAAAGGCTGCATCGAGGAGCGAGAGGAGGAGCTGTCCCGGCTGAGAACAGCCACCGTGAGTCTTTCTCCTGAAACATCAAGAGTCTGTCGACAAGCTGCAAAGCTGCCACAAAAACTAAACTACACTTGTAAACACCGAGGCTCGGCCTGTTCCAATGTTTCAAACGAAGCACTGTAGAAATAGTTTTTGACCCCCACGTTTCGTTTCCTCAGGGGGCCACAGACTCAGAGAAGCGAGTTCTCTGTCTCTCCACTGAGAACGAGAGTCTGAAGCAGAGCCTGAGCGTCACGCAGGGCCTCCTGCAGCAGCTCTCCGCCCTCCCGTCGCAGTCCAGCACCATGCTCATCAAGGTGAGAGGCGGTGAGCTCGGCTCGGAGCTCACCGCCGACACGCTCTAAATAACCTGCCTTCACCCGCCAGGAGAACGAGAACCTCCGCAGCCGAGTGCAGCAGCTGGAGGTCTCCCTGCAGCAGCGCGCGGAGCAGCTTTCACAGCTGGAGCGAAGGAGCGAACAAAGCGAGTGGCGGAGGGGAGAGGAGCTGAGGAAACGAGAGGAGAGGGCGAAGGAGCTGCAGCTGGAGCTGGACAGAGAGAGAGGCAAGGAGCCGGTCGTTAAGGTAAACCATCACGAAGTTGCTTCACACGCCGTGGAGACGCACCGGCTGATCCTAACTCCAAGGACCTGTGCCAGTTTGTCACCCAGACTGTGGAGGTGGAATCGCCGGCCACCCTGAAGCAGCTGACTAAATCCAGGCGGAGGAACGAGGTGTTGTCCGAGAGGCTGTCCAATCAGAACGAGCGCTGCAAACAGCTGGAGGAGCAGATCAGGAAGTCAGACGAGCACAGCTGTAATCTGCAGCACAAAGTAAGCAAGACGGCAAAATGTAGAATGACCTACTTCCACGTTCGTACAGCTGTGCTCACATGTGTACCTGCATTTAGAAAAATCAGGTTCTAGCTGCATGATGGATGTTTTTCTTTCTAACATGTAAATTTGTCTCAGGCAGCAGAAAGATGCACAGCTATGGTCAAGAAGGCTAAATGTCCGTCATTATCCACAAGACTAATGTTATTCTTAATATGATTAATTATTTAGTACAAGAAGACAATTAATGAGCTCAGACACTGCTGCTGCAGTGTTCAGATTATTAGTTGGGAAAGGAGAAAGACAAAAAGAGTAAGTTTCAAGTTTGCTTTTAGAAATTCACCTAATTATAGAGATAAACTGGAAGATGCAGGGGTGTCCATATGTTTTCATATGTGGACCAAAACTATTAGGATGAAAGGACTCATGGGTCTCAAAAATGTGAATTTAACTCTCAACGTGAGCAATATTTTGAACAAAGGTCACAAGTTTACTAATTTTAATGGAGAAAGAGTTTTAAATTGTTGTATAGTAGTCCCTCGTTTATCGTGGGGGATCCGTAGTGAAAAACTGCGATGTATGGACAGTAGTCCAAGTTCCATTTCAAGTTCAAATACATTAAACTTTATATTAAGGCTTTAGAAACCCTTCCCACACTCTTGGAATGTTCTAAACACTTAAACTTGGTTACAGCGTTTTCTGATAAGCACTTGCTAAGGTGAAATTTACTCTTAGTGACTGTGTAGTCATTTACTGTAAACTCAAAGGTAATAAAAAATGGTCAGACAACAGTCAGTAACTCATCATTAGCTATGAAATATTTATCTTACACAACAAAAAATATATACATATAATAATTTTTCAATTTTTTAATTTTTATTTCTTTTTTTAAGTCTTATAATATGAGTGGTGAGTATCATGAGTGGTTTGGGTGGTGGGACGGTGCCCTAGCGCCCTCTATTGATGAGCCGCCACTGGTGAGCAGCACATGCCAACAATCAAGTAGTATTACGGTGATTTTTTTCACAGTGATTATTCTGGTTAGAGATTCATGAGTCTAACAGCCTCAGGGTAAAAGCTGTTCCTCAGTCTAGTGGTTCTACACTTAATGATCCTCAACCTCCTGCCTGAGGGGATCAGGGCAAAAAGTGTGTGTGCTGGGTGAGTGGGGTCTTTCATGATGCAGGTGGCCCTCTTCCTGCATCTGGAGGTGTAGATGTCTGTGATGGTGGGGAGGCTGACTCTGACTCCAACAGTCTTCTGTGCAGCCTTCACCACTCTCTGCAAAGCTTTTCTTTCTGCAGCTGTGCAGCCTCCATGCTACACGTTGATGCTGGAGCACAGGATGCTCTCCACTGCACACCTGTAGAAGGAGGTGAGGACTGAGCTTCACAGACCAGCTCGTCTCAGCTGTCTGAGGAAGTAGAGTCTCTGATGAGCTTTCTTGATCAGGCTGTTGGTGTTGTTGCCCCAGCTGAGGTTGTTATTCAGGTGCGCACCCAAGTACTTGTAGCTGGAGACCACTTCCACTGCAGATCCCCCTATGTTTTTTTTTTTGTTTGTTTTTTTTTTTGGGGGGGGGGGGGGGGGGGGGGGGTCAAGACACTTGAAATTAGACCAAATTACTTTTATAAAGAAAAACTAGAAGAACTGCATTTCCTGCAAAAATGCAGTGTGAATGATTATTCCAGAGAAATTTGCTGAAAAACTGCTGAAATTAGCTAAAAATCTAGCTGAAAATGTAGAAGAAGCTTAAATTAGCAGAAGAAAGCAGAAAGAACACATTTCCCTCAATTTGGATGAAAGAAGCAGAAATGAGCACAGAAAAGGGGAAATTATCTGAAAAAAACTGAAATTAGCAAAAAATTGCTGAAAAGTACCTTAAAGTGCATTCACACCAGCCCTTTTTAGTCCGCTTTAATCAAACTCTAGCTCGTTTTCCTAGGAAGTCCGGTTCGTTTGGGGAGGTGTGAACGCGCCATCGAACTCTGTCACGGAACAAAAAGGCGAACTCTGGCCCGGGCTAAAATCTAGGTCTCGGTCCGGCAGAAGAGAACTCCAGCGCGGTTCGAGTGCAGTGTGAATGTAATCAGACCGGTCCCCGCTCCACAAGCAAGAAGTGGAGTATGGTATGGTATAAAGTTTATTCATTTTAAAAAAGTACAAAACAATTCCATAACAATATAAAAAAGATACAAAAGATTTAAAATGAAAGGCAGCAGAAAGAAGAAAAAATCTTATTATATCTGCCCTTATTATATCCTGACATGTCCCCGTCCTCTGAGGACACATTTTCATCTTTCCCTCATCTCACTCGCCTCATTTCTGTTTCTTCCTTATTCAGTCTCTGAAATTACAACGTCACAGTTAGAATGAAGATTATTGTTCAATAAAAAATATGGCATGTCTTATTGTAACACTGTTCGTACCAAAGTTTAATTTAGAACAACATGTGTGATCACTGGTCAGATCACTGGTCAGTGGAAGTTCTGCTGTTCTTCTCATCTGGTTCTGTTGATGTGGTCAGAAAAATGTTGGACTTCCTGAGATTTAATTTTAACCCAGGTGTCGTCAACATACATTGACGTCCTTTTCAGGGACACCACCAAGTCATTGGTTCAGGTATGTTGACGACACCTGGGTTAAAATAAAATCTCAGGAAGTCCAACATTTTACTGACCACATCAACTCTGTGGATAAATACATCAAGTTCACACGAGAAGATGAAAAAAATGGCAAGTTGGCTTTCTTGGACTGTGAGGTCTCAGTCTCTTATAGAGGACATTTGCAAACCGAGGTGTACCGCAAACCCACCCACACAGACCAGTATTTGCAGTTTGACTCCCATCACCCTTTGGAGCACAAGTTAGAAGTCATCAGGACTCTGTATCACAGAGCAGACAGCGTCCCCACTAGCTCGGGAGCCAGGCAGAAGGAGAAATCCCACACAAGACAGGCTCTAGAGCAATGTGGATATCCTAACTGGGCCTTCCTGAAAGCAGAGAAGAAACCCAAACAGGACTCCAGTCAACCATCAGGTGAAAAGGAGGAACCCAGACCCAGACCAGTGGTCATTCCATATGTTGAGGGAGTATCAGAGAAACTGAGACGTTTATTTTCTAAACATAACGTCCCAGTGGCTTTTAAACCCCAAAATACATTACGGCAAAGACTGGTTCATCCCAAAGATCCAGTCTCCTGGCACAAACAGTAATGTTGTGTATGCTGTTCAGTGTCAGGAGGGTGATCAGTCTTACATCAGGGAAACTAAACAGCCACTGGCCAAAAGGATGGCCCAGCACAGAAGATCAACATCATCAGGCCAGGACTCTGCGGTCTACACTCATCTCCAGGCCAGCGGTCACTCTTTCAGGGATGAAGATGTTCACATCCTGGACAGAGAGGAACTATGGTTTGAGAGAGGAGTAAAGGAGGCCATCTTTGTGAAAAGAAATCGTCCATCATTAAACAGGGGTGGAGGCCTCCGGGTTCAACTGTCCCCCTCTTACAATGCTGTGATTGCTAGTATCACTCAGCCCTCTGTGAACAGTAAACAGCCATCAGTGTGCTAATGATCCATTGTTAGGTTGATGGTCCTTCTTGAGCATGTGATCAGCTGGTTTTGGTTGTCAGCAGCAAACTGGTTGATCCACTCTGAGAAGGTGCTATTTAAGAGACTGAGCTGAAAACAGCACCTCAGACTGAGGAAGTCTCTTGGATGAGAGACAAAACGTTTCTACATTTTTTGTTGTTTTGCTTTGTTTTGGGTTTTTTTTTTTTTGAATGTCCAGAGGACCAGATTTAACTTTTTTAGAGTTTTCTACCTGGATTATTGAGCATGCATCAGGACTGTAAGATGTATTTTTCGTGGAATTCAACTTGCCCTTGCAATCCTTAAAACAATGCCATGTTTAAACTTTCGACTTACCTTCTGCACCCACATGCAGTTTATTGATCAAAACTGCAACTGCAGCACATTTGCCTAAATCTGACTTAAATGCTACCTTTGTCAAACTAACTACTTCTGTATATTATCGTTGGCAACACTGCCTACAATTTTAACAGACAACTTTAATGTTAATATGGCTCGTTTGTCTATGAGTATGATTCTCGCTTAGGGTGCGAGATGTCCCGGGTTCAATTCCCGGACGAGCCCTTTGTTGAAAGATTGCACTTCCGTCTTGGGACTGAAATAAACAGATTCAGTAGTATTCTGACTGGAAAAAAATTGTCCCTACTCAATGAAGAATAAAGACAGACTGCCTTCATCATACTATAAGGGAAATAAAAGTAATCTGTGTGAGGTGGCTAAATACTAATCATTCTTTGAACTTCAGGGGTATTCCTAAGCGTTCTGGTTTTGAAGTAAGCTGTTAGTCTCTGTTTCACATTATTGTGAACTAGAAGTCTAATTCTGAAAAGATTGGTCAACTAAAGCGTTTTAAGATTGTTTTTCGTGGAATTCAGCTTGCCGTTACAATCCTTAAAACACTATCATGTTTAAACCTACGTCATTTTAACAACATATGTTACTAACTTTTACTAGCTCTGGTTCCGGTCCAACTCTGTTTTATTCCAATTTGTTTAGTTTCTGCAGACCTATCCTGCAGCAATGAATAAATAAGCCCCCAAAAATCAGTCCTCTAATTTTAACAACATACAGTATTTATATGTACAGGAGCCACAAAATTTTACCTACCAGGCTCTGCAGAACAGGAGCGGCTCGGTTGATTCTGGATCAACAGCAGCCCAGCTACTCAGCAGTGACGATACAAATTGATTGATGAGTTCAGCTTCAGGGTTATTTGTGACTTTCCTGCCAGTTCTGTGAGTTTATCCTTGCAGAACTTCTGACTTTGCTGCACAACGTCCCCTCTATTTGTAAGCAGTGGTTGAAAGAGCAGTGTTGCCACCTTGACCTCTCTAAGTGGCTTTAAGAATCTGTTGGACTCCTGGCAAGGACCAATGCAGACATGTTCCTGTTTTTAGTTTTCTACATTTGCCGTATAATCTAGCTATTTTTTGCTATTTTTGCCACCTTATTTAAATTTGTTTAAAAAAAATAAAAATCTGTATGCCTCTTTTATGATTGTCCACTGTTGTCATCTTTCTTTGTTGAAATCAGGTCTCTCTTGTAAATGAGTCCTTGAGGCTCAATGGGATTAACCGGTTTAAATAAAGGTTGAATGAGTTGACTTCCGGGAAGCGATGGCTTCTGGGTAACGTAGTTCTTCAGACTGGCAAAACTGTGAAGGCTTAATGAAAGAAAACTACAAAATGGCTGCACTTTTTTTGGGGGGGAGGGGGGTGAGATATTATGTACGTATACAGTACTTAAAAAATAAAAAAAACGCGATAAAGCGAGTCCGCGATAAACGAACCGCGAAGTAGCGAGGGATTACTGTAGATCCAAAACCTAAAAAAGCCTCATAAACACTAAGATCACATTTTTTGATTAAAAAGGATTTGATTTATTTGATTAGTTGGGTCTGTGTTTGTTGTTTTCTTGTGTTTGGAAAGTTCATTTTAGTCCGTTCTCAGAAACAAAAATGTAATTTGAGCAAGTGTCCTTTTAAAAGGGGATCAATCAGCCTTTTGGACCATGGACGCCCAAAAGGCTGAAGTTCTGAAAAATCTTCCAGCTGTCAGTCGCTACAACAGATTCAAGGAAGGTTTGATAAAATTGATCAACTTGTATGTAGATGATACCACGTTATATTCATTAAAAAAATGTTCCCTCTTGATTATTTTATCAGCTGCAATATTTAGTCAAGTTTCATGAATCTTTATCCAAAAGTCTCCTTTCTGGTAGAAATCAGTAAAAGTTTTTGGTGCTTTGTACCATGAAGTGAAAATAAAAAGATTATAGTCAAAGGTTTGTATTTTGTTTAATGTTGCTCATTTTGAAAAGATTGTTTTTAATCTATTTTGCTGTTAAACCTAACATTATATTAAAAAAGATTACCAATGAATTTGCAGAAAGTCTGCATCGACCTCTGAAGCCTGCTGGCCAAAATGATACCATTCCTAAACTGCAGCTGTGGTCCGCACAAAATCACTCCAAGGACCGCAAATGGCCCTCGGACCACACTTTGGACACCCGTGAGTAAATATGATAGAGTGACAAACTGCTGTGCTGAACTTCTTCCAGGTTGCAGCGTATGAGCGAGAGATCAGTAAACTGAGGGAGGAGCTGCTGAAAGAGATCAACCACCTGGAGGAGAGGAAGGAGGAGGCGGTGAAGGCCGCGGCGAGCTGCTCAGCCGAACACTTCCAGAACCTGCAGGACCAATTCTTCAGTAAGCTCAGGGAGGAAATTCTGGTTTCATTAAAACAAATGCGTCAGTTGTTGGGAGTGTTTTTCTTTTTGTCAGGCCTGCAGAAGCGAATGACAGCACTGCCCCCAACTTTACGCTCCATGAAGACGGACTACGCCAGTCTGAGGAGCCAAGTTCGAAACTTCTCTGAGTTTTACGGAGCCGCCATTATTGAAGCAAAAAAACAGGTTTCTCGCCTCGCACAAGCCTTACAGCCTGTTTTCAGAGCAAAAGTCTATCTGATGGGTGAGTTTTCAGGCTGCGCTTTGTCTTTGGCAGATTTCAGCAGCTATTAGTGAGATGTGTGATGCCAACAAAGATCTTCTGGAGAAGTACAGGAAGGAGGTTGCGCTGCGCAGGAAGTACCACGAGCAGCTGGTGGAGCTGAAAGGTAAATGCATAAAAACACAACATTTTCTGCAGAAAACAAAACCGGTCCCTTCACGAAGCTCTGTGGCACTTTTCAGGCAACATCCGTGTGCTTTGTCGCGTGAAGCCGGTGCTGAAGGAGGACCAGCATGAGGACGGTCAGTCTGTCGTCGTGACGACGGACCCCAACAACGAGTCCTCTGTGGCGGTGCTGAGCAAAGGGAAGAGCCGCATCTTTGAACTGGACAAGGTGTTTCACCCACAGGCCAAACAGGAAGAGGTAGGTAAGAAGAATGTTGGTGGTGTTTTTTTTTATTTATTATTATTTAAAGCCGCCTTCTTTTTTTTTAAAACTCTTTAGTTTTTGCTTTTATCAGGTGTTTCAGGAGATTGAACCCCTTGTGACGTCTTGCATCGATGGTTATCATGTCTGCATATTTGCATATGGACAAACAGGCTCTGGAAAAACCTACACCATGGAGGTACCCTCTTTAAATTACATTACTGTAATCTTATTGTGAACGGCTTTTTGTTTGCATCAGTTTGGGGCTTCTGCATCTGAGGAAAATCTGTGCTGTAAACATTCTTTAAGTAGCTTTTTTAAATCCCTAAACATGAAAAAATGTGATTTTCTTCTAATTTATTCTCATATGGCGCACAGGAGATGGATTATCATTCATCGGTTGACCAGGGTTGACTTTTTAACCTGATGATGTGTTCCAGGGCAGCGTGGAGAACCCAGGAATCAACCAGCGAGCTTTGAAGCATCTGTTCAGCGAGATCGAAGCGAGGAAGGACATGTGGTCCTACACGGTGACAGTCAGCTCGGTGGAGATCTACAACGAGGTGCTGAGGTACGGCCGCTGCTTCCTGCTCCAAACAGTCACAGAAGACCAGGCCTTAATTTGTAAACCAATCGATGCTGGAACGCAAGCATGTGGGCTGGCAAGGGGGGGGGGGGGGGGGGCTCTCCCCCAGAAAATTTTGAATAAAGTAGATGTGATTTCCTGTATTTTGGTGTATTTTAACGGGTTGTTAAATATCTACATTTACCTACATTTGTAAACACTCTGCTTCTGTCAAGCATCCCCCCCCCCGGTTACTTGACAGTTCCGAGCCCGACTCTGTCCCTGCTCATTGTTGTCCGTCTCCACAAGTGAAACCTCCAGGCGCCAGCTCCGTTTGTTCATGAGCGTTGCCTGTGGGCTCCTGCCCGTGCACGACTGCCTGGTTAGCTTGGCACTCACCCCCACCACTCTTTCAGGGGTGGAGATTTTTTCAATGGTAGAGGCAGAAATGCTTACTTGAAGAGGCAGCTCCTATGTGACAATAAGAAGTCGTAAGCGGCTATTGTGTTTAAAATGAGTGTTTATGCAATTATTTTCGTTTACATAGCCAATATAAGCTTTATTTATTCAAGGCAGCCATATTTGTTCATAACTTTATTATTAATTATGAACTGGATCCAATCGAACAGTTACCGGAATGCACCCTGTCAAAATAAGAGAGTTCCGGATCCTGTTCCGGCAGGATCCAGCTCAAATTGATCCCTACAGAAGACATTATTTGTTGCTCCTAGATGAAGGTATTTTGTTTTTCAGAGACCTTCTGAGTAAAGATGGAGAGAAACTGGACATAAAGCTCAACCCAGATGGGACAGGACATCTGCATGTCCCTGGCCTCAGGGTTACGGAGGTTAAAAGCTTTCAGCACATCAAGAAGGTGACACGGGTTTCCAGTTTTATCGACCGCTCAGTGAAAAATGCTTCTCATGGTAATTTCAATATGTTTATGAAGATTTTAGCCACAGCTCGTAGGAACAGGATCACCTTTGGGACTCAGATGAACCAGCACAGCTCGCGCTCCCACGCTCTGCTCTGCATCACCGTTCAGGGTACTGACCTCGCCACCGGCTCCAAAACCACAGGTCAGAGCTCGTCATCCAGAACGCTCCCTAAGGGTGCTGTTGTCAAGAGTTTAGGAGGGAGCAGAGATTTGTTCTGGCCTGTTGTTTTCATTCTTGCGCTGAATTCCTTCTCCGTTCTGCAGGTAAACTGAACCTGGTGGACCTGGCAGGATCAGAGAGGGTCTGGAAGTCTGGCGCCGAGGGGGAGAGGCTGAAAGAGGCCCAGAATATCAACCGCTCCCTGCTGGCGCTGGGCGACGTCATTCAGGCTCTTCGGGCTCGGCAGACTCACATCCCCTTCAGGAACTCTCGACTTACGTATTTGTTACAAGACTCCCTGGGCAAAGGCAGCAAGACCATCATGGTGGTGCAGGTGAGATCTTCTGTCAGATACAAGAAATAAAAAAAAAACACTCCTTTTACGTCAAACTTGATGTTCGTATTGTTCCACTGAAGGTATCTGCTCTGGAGAGCAATGTGGGCGAGACGTTGTGCTCCCTGAAGTTCGCTCAGAGGGTTTGCAAGGTGGAACTGGGTCCTGCAGCCAGGAAGATCGAGTCTGGTGGAGGACAGGGTGACTGATGACTTTAAATCCCCAGGACAGATTATCATCAACCCCGCCAGCCACATCTTCCAGCGAAGATAACAAGGTCGGCTGCGATCCTGATCAAGGGCTAAATCTTCCGAGGTCAAGTGAATATCAGGTCAAGAACAGAACCTCTTCACCATCATAACCCTTCATCGTCTGCATGTAGGAGTATTTATTCTTCCACTCTGGATGCCAACACCTCCTCTGACTCCTCTAACGTTTAATGCCTCCTCAAATCACCATCAGTGTAACGGAACAGGAGAACCTGGAACTGACCGTGTCCTCAGAGATCATCACTTTAGTTCATGCAGCACCACTCGTTCGATTAATGTTTGTAGTTTGAGCTTCATTGAGTGTGACTCTGCTAATTATGTAGCTTTGTGACTTCAAACACGAGAGGCTGAACACTCAGTTTCTCTTTAGTCATGTGAGGGCAGAATGAAGCTGCTTTAAGGAAAGCCTTATGGAATGAACTGTGCAATATCCTCCTTCAGAAGAGGTTTGGGCCTTTGTGGACAGAAGATGCACTTTATGATGAAAGAGCGTGCAATAGACAGAACGGTGAACATGTTCGTCTGTTCCTTATTGATCCCCGCCATGAATCAAATCTAGTTTTTGATTCTAATGTAGCAGAGTACTCATGTTGCTCTAACTATGAGTACTTAAATTATTAGAAAGTGAATTCCAGCTTATTTTCTGACTGAACATATTTAAAATCTGTTTTTTTTTTTCTCGCCGGATGCTCAGAAATGTTTAAAATGTAGCAAACATTTCTGTTGTGACCTTTTCTTCCAGTGGTTTCTGTATACTTTCATTGTCTCGTCTTGTTGCCGTTTGTCTGAATATGTTGGCAAAACCAAAACAGTGAATTATTTATTTGATCTAATCTTAGGTTGAAATAAAAATCAACAATAGCTATTTCAAAATGCGTTTTACTTTACATATAAAAAAACAAAACTTTGCTGGTTACATGAACAGCGAATCTTTACAGAACAGATGCAGGATCATCTCCCCCAGCAGGAAACCAGCTGCCTCTTTGTATGGAGCTCTGTGTGTGTATAAACAGTCCCCGGTAAATCGAGGCCATCCGTGCTCAGTCTTTTTATTTTGTCTGTCACATCAAGTATTCAGTCCGAGTCTCCCTCCTCCACTCCAACTGCTCCCACCGCTCCGGCCAGCTCCTCCTCGCTGCCTCGCAGACGATCGCCTGACAGAAAAACACAAACAACCCCCCCCATCAGTCTGATTCAGTCACAGCTTTCTTCAATCAAACCTAAAGTGATAGTTCAGATCATTTATCATTATCTTACTTGCTGTAGATAGCTCTTTGAACAACCTTCATGTGGAGAAAGAGTTGAATTCTGACCAGACTGGTGAGCAAATGGCTGAGCTGGTCAAAATGTAACTCGTTCTCCAAACTGAGGTCACTCAAATAGCTTTCTACAACAGGTAAGACATTAATTGTTCACAATCCTTCCATGAACCCCACTTGTGTGAAAAATGTGTCTATACTGTGCTGGTAAATTATACCTATTAATAACCAATACAAAAGAAAACAAAACAATATATATTCTGTCTGTTTACAACATTCTCCATGCAGGCAGCAGAATCACTTTCTAAGCAGAAGGGATAAGATTCTTTAAATGTGAAAATATAGTCCGCTGTTCTATAATTCAAGATGAAAGAGAAGACTGCTATTAGTTTACATGTTAATTACATTTGACTCAATAACTAAAACATCTCAAAGATCAACGTTGAACAAACAGCAAATATTTCTAAATGCAAGTTATTGTCTCCCTAAAAACAAGGGAAAACTTCCTTTACAGTTTTGAATTCCCCTGAAACCTTCCAACTATTTTTAAAGTGCGTCTCATCCATCACTTTAGGAATCGTGCCGCTGATGTTATCAGACACCTTTCAGCCTCTGAGTCAGGGAGGCTCAAAGCAATTATCCTCATAATTCACGCCCGTCTCAAGCACCGACGTCTCAGTGACCTGATGAGCAGCCGGCGAACAGGTGTGAAAACACGAAGCGGCAGATACTAACGGATGAGCTCGGCGATGGCTCTCTGCGTTCTCCTCTCCAGCTTCTCCAACTTCTTTGCCACGTCACGTTTCAGGTCCCTGCATTAAGAATTCAAATAAACTTTTACATGATATCATGCAGTACAGGAGGGGTATGTTCTGTCACACACACAAAAAAAAAAAAAGAAGCTCTCACCAGTCTGGTTTTCTTGGAGCAAGATTGGCCAAATCCTGAGGACAGAAAACAGCTGAATGAGACATCCTGATGCATGCTCAATAATCCAGGTAGAAAAATCCAAAAAAGCTGAATGAGACAACTTCAGTAAGAGAAATGAGATTTAAACAAAAACACGTGCTCACCACTTCTTCGATAATGGGCTCGGGGTTAGCTGCTTCCAACTGATCCTTCACTTTATCTTCCACTGCAACCAAAAAACACGAGCTGTAACAGCAGCCGAAGCAGCTTTGGTTTTATAATAACAGCCTTTCAGCTGCTGCATCAGAGTTCACTTTTAATCCAGTGTTCTCACCTGATGCAGGTTTGACTTTGGGCACCTGCCTCACCTTCAGTTCTTCATCCTCTGGGGTATAATTCCTTAATCTCAAATCTCTGGAAAACACAAAAGGTAATTTAGTCTACTTATAGGAGGACAGAATAGTTATCATCTCCACACCTCAGTCCAGTAGGTGGCAATGTAGGCAAATAATTCACTAGATTAAAGCATAAAGGACCTTCTGCAATCCCCACAGCTGCAGAGCTTGTGCCTGAAGAAGGCTGAGAATAATGACCCCCTTTATTCCTGCAAACACGTCTCATTAACATGTTCCACCTGCTACTGGGCACAGACTGAAGGAGAACAGAAAACAGCTGAGGAATTCATCCCTTGATGTTGAATCATGCAGTCTTTCATCACAAAACCACACAGAGGAGCGCTTGGCTGACATCTCGGATCAGACCGAGGATCCGGAGGAAGAGCTGACCTACTGTCTGAACGAGCACGGACCGAGAGACTTCTCAGCTGTTCTGAGCTTAAAATGGATTTTTGACGAAGCTCGACACTCTTGAAGGATTCATCGCTCCTCCTGGCAGACAGTGCAACGCCTTGTAAGGGTAGAAAAACTTGCCAGGGTCGGCTGTTGAGCTGATTTCAGGAGCGCATGTCTGTCGCTCTGTACCCTTCAGAACAGACGCTCATGAAGATGATTCAGTAAAAATGTCCTGTTCATCTCATTACTGATAATACAAAAAGAAACAAAACGTGCTCAGAACTGAAACAGTCATGATAATGAAACTAATTTACCTTTTGAGGTCAAACAGGAAGTGTTTCCTTACATTAGGAAGTGACTAAAAGCCACCATTTATCAAAAAATGTTTAAGCAATGCAACATCCACAGTTTAACTGAGACTTGTCGCATCTTTCCCCCTTCTATTGTCTAACATCTATAAAAAGTTGACTAATTAAAAGCAAAATGCAAGGTACACTGAATTTAAATTTATCAGAAGAAACAAGAACGTGTTTAGTAAAGAACAAACAGCATTGTGCAATCTCATATGTGGAAATTTTGTTGCAAGAGGAACCATCAGAAAACGAACTAAACCAACAGGTGTCGATACCCAGAACTGATCTAACTGCACTCTCCGGCCTAAAAGTGTTACTCAGAGAAACTTAAGACACAGAAAATGTTGCAAAATTTCTCTGAGGGAGAAAAACGCAAGTTTGATAACTGCACACCTACTAGCACTGACATTTTATTTTCTAGAAAATATAAAAATAATCTTTTAGTGCAAAACAGGAAGTCAGGAGGTCACGAAGCGAGATGTGAAATATCATTTATACTGAAACTCACACTATTTACCATATTTTTCTGACTATAAGGCACACTTAAAATCCTTTGATTTTCTCAAAAATCAACAGTGAACCTTATTCAACCTTTATTGAGACAGGTTAATCCCATTGAGACTCGAGGACTCATTTACAAGAGAGATCTGATTTCAACAAAGAATGATGACAACAGTGACAGCAATAGACAGTTATAAAAAGGCATACAGATTTATTTATACAAATAAGACGGCAAAAAAAGTAACAAAAACAGCTAGATTATAAGGTGAATGTAGAAAACTAAAAACAGGAACATATAATCAGGTGACAACATAAAATCAGATTATAATCCGGTGCACTTTATGTATTAATTCTGGTTGTGCTTACTGACCTCGGAACGATTTTATGTGGTTCTTGTGAATGATTGAATAAAGTCTGACTTATCTGTTTTGTTTCGCTTAATGTGCCTTATAATCCGGTGCACCTTATAGTCCAAAAAATACGGTAAATGAGCAAGATTAACTACAGCTGGGCACAGAGATATAGAAAACCCATTTAACACACCGCCATTATCAGAACAAAAGATAAGACAAACAGACTGGAGGTGTAAATTTTCTGCCTTCAAAGGTTTTTATTCTGAGCTGTCTCAGTTTAATGGCTTTAAAGCTTTGGAGAGTGTTTACACGTTTCCACTTCGGGCCCAATGTGGCATCAAAGTGTGCCTGTGATAAATCCAGTGCACTGACCCAAGTGTGGCCCGCTCTTCAAATGTTTAGAGCAAACTCTTGTTAGGGAGGAGGTGCGAGCAGCGTTCAAATGTTTACAAAGGTATCGAGCTATCTGGCCAGCAAAACCAACTCTGATTTCCTTTTACACAAGAGACTGCAAGCGCTAACACGCAACAGTAATATTTTGAAGGCTTTCAAAGTTCTTTTTATCTTATTTGTCAATTCAAAGACATTAGACTCTACTTGGCTATTAAGAATAATAATTTTTTTTAAAGTCTTCGCCACACCTAACATGATGCAACAGAAAAAGCTGCACGACGTAATTTGAGCTCCTTGTGAATTAGACTTGAAGTAACACCTTCAAGAAGTGAAGAACCCTGGACAGGTCTCCAGTCCATCAAGGGACACACAGAGACAAAGGAGACAAACAACCATTCACTCTCTCACTCACACCTGGAGACATTTGAGAGTTACCAATCAGACTAACATGCATGATTTTAGTCTGTGGGAGGAAACCGGAGTACCTGGAGAAAACCCACACATGCACAGAGAGAACTTGCAAACTCCACCCAGAAAAGACCCAGACTGAGATTTGATCCTGCAACCTTCACGCCGAGAAGTGACAGCTCGAACCGCTGCGTCGCAGCTTTCTGTATGCAATAATTTAGGCATTTCAAAAACGTATTAACTTGAACATATGCCTGACAAGGTTTTATTTTTCTGCCCTCGTTTAGCAATCTGACCCCCCATGAAACTTTAATGCCAATCACATGATACGTTACACTCACATCCTGCAGCAGACCAGCAGAAAACCCAGACTGCTGCATTAACACACTTGCTTCACACAAACTCTAAAGTACGTTCATAACCCTGAAGCTATTTTTACCCTCACGAGAGAGATCGGTCCTGTTGGACTGGAGAGAATACAGCGGCACTCCCTCAGGTGCAGTCAGTGCAGTCATTAAATATAAACAATGGAAAAAAGGTCCTGTAGGACAGGAAAGATGGCTGCTCCCTCTTTAACAGCCGACACAAAAGTTGAGCAAGCTGTGGGATATTTGAGCAGCTAACAGCACAAGGCTGTAGTCCAGCCCAGAGTAAACACAGTGTCTCACAGCCTGGACTGAGACATGCTGTCAAAGATAAAGGACAGATAAACATCCTGGCACTGGACTGTGAGATGCCCTTCAGTTCTGTTTGAAGTAAAATAGTAAGAAAATACTAAAGCAAACAATCTTAGTACAAAAATATCTTTAAAGTTTCAATGGAAAAAAGTTGTGGAGGAAAGGCAGCAAACATACCTGTGCTTCTCTTCTGTGTTGTCCTCTGTTGCTGCTTTTTTGTTGTCTGGCTCCCCATCTTCCTGCTCTTGTCCCTGTATAAAATCAGCAGAATTAAGCAGATATTTTATTTGGTAGATGTGTTCTGACTGTATTTTTTTTTTTTTTTTTTTACAAAAACCAACACTGCATTGTGCAACAAAAATGACTTTAATAAAGTCACGACAAAAGGCAACATCCTTTGTCGCAGTGATGCCTCTTTATTAAAAACTATGTATTTATTGGAGACTTTTAACCCTATTGAAGATATGAATTGAATCATTTTACAGTTTTTACAGTACATATGTAGGCCAGCATTTAGGGAGTGGTGGCACAGAGGTTAGAGAAAGTGGGCCTGTGATCAGAAGATCGATGGTTCAACTCCCGGTACCAACAACATCAAAACGTGGGTGGGAAAGGTGAAGCACCCACACCTGCCTCCACTCTCATTTGCCCCACTCTGGGCCCTTGAGCAAGGCCCTTAACCCCCACCATCTGCTCCCCCGGGCACCCTAGATGGCATCTCTCTGCTCCACACAGACAGCTGTGGTAGCTCAGTGGTCTGTGGTTGTGTCAGGAAGGGCATCCGGTGTAAAAATAATTGCCAAGTCTTCGTGTGACAGTTTGCTGTGGTGAACCCTGAAGAAGGGAGCAGCCTAAAGAAGAAAAATAAATGTAGGCCAGCATTTGCATAGAAAAACAGAGCAACATGTGCTTCTTGTAATTTGAGAGTCAAATAACACATTTACATTTTGGACTTCACTACCTCCAGTACCACTCTTTTCAAAGGTTGTTCATTACAAATGAAAGGAATTCATGAAATCTGGAAAATAAGATCAGTGCTTTCTGACCGTAACTTGAACTACTGTACTGAAAAAACTAATTACGGTAGTTAATGTGTTGCAGGCTCAACAATGCTGCTCAGGGTGTGACGTTCTTGAAGCTATCTATATGTAAACAGCAAGGCAAATAACTTATAAGACACAGTGGCAGAAATTAAAGCACACACACAATACTGACCCCAAGTGAAAATCTTTAACAAAGGAAACTGAACCCCTCCCAGCCTGCATTTTCCTGAAGGGGCTTCCTGTCCACCTGCTAGAACAATTCAGGGCAATGACTCACGACTCAAGAGCAGCAAGAAAAAGGACAGCAACTACAAACTCGAGGAATGTCAACAACCATTTATCAATTTTTGCTACCAGATTACACTCAACGTTCACGTTGTCAGACACAATCTCGTGTAGAGAAAACAGTTTCTCACGATGAATAGAGGTTTCCTTTCGCAAGATCTCATTTCCAGAAAATGAAAAACTGCCACAGTGAAGCAGAATGCTGTCACTGTGTAATGTCCAATGCAAAATGCAACCCACATGAAGAAATGAAATCTGCTGCAAAAGCCAGGCCTCAAATGTGAAGTTCAAGTGCCATGCTCATCTGTTCTGAAAATTATTTTCTCACACATCAAGACAAAAATAAGTTCACTTACACAGGCCACCGGAAACTGCAAATGCAATGGTAATTATTTGGTAACAAATTGAGAATACCTAAGAAACTTTATACCTGGTTTATGCATTTTTTAATTTATTCTTATTTTTTTAATTTGTGTAATTAAGTGTTTTTTGTTGAGATACAAAGAACATTTTGTAAAATTCAACAATAATTCATGAGTGATTTGTCATAAAGGAGTTCCACTTGGCAGTAAAAAAAAAAAAATTTGTAAAAAGTTGACCACAAAATTTATTGTCAGCCTGCTCTGTTTCAGGAAGCTGAACCGGATAAATTCAGATAAGCTTTATTTATACTGTCAAGTTGTTTTTAGTCTATACTGATGAAGGGGACAAGAAACCATCTTCAACAGCATTAAGTTGTTTTGTTTATTTTAAAATAAAATAAAAATTTCCTGTGTTAAAGTGTAAAACATTTAGCTGCAAAATTACACAGATTCATCGCAATACTTCAGTTATCTGAACTGACCATCTCTTTATTATAAAATCATCTGAATGCATCTGTATAAATACAAATTAAGACAAAAACAAAGGAAATGTGAAGGGTTTGTGATCAAAAGGTAAACAAATATCTATTTTTAGTGTTTAAAATGTTCTGTGCATGTAGCTTTCTGCAGGCACCATGTGCATTATCAATCTGTTGCTTATCTAATAATATTAACATGTCATAAGTTATTAGAAAATATTTGTATTTCACTCTAAAATGATTGTTAGTTCCCATCATTTGTAAGCCAAACAATGCACCCAGTGATTTGAGAAAACTACACAAAGATGTCACGTTTTAAAAGGCATTTAACAGTCAAAATACTACTTTTAAACACCTGTTAAATTTAGAGAACTATAAACCCAATGATGGCCCCATATCTTGGTTTAATTAGAAAAACTTAATGTTTAGTTATGATCAACTTAAGAAATTATGGCTGAAAAGCTTCCTGAGTATTACCTCTGCTTGTCTGACAGCTAAAATAGAAAGATGAAAGTAACCAATATGAGCTAAAGCTGTCATATCACATATAAATTAATCTATAAAAACTATATGCAACGTAAATCACCATGATGACAAAAGAGATGAAAATGATCAAAACAAGCTGTATGGTGACTTTACTCCGTTTATAGCTCTGCTGCTATAAAAATAGAACAACTTTATGCTGCTAACCACATATCAGAACATGTTTCTACCTCACGTACCACCTACACATGTACTAATCAACACGTGTGTCTCTAGTCTTGTGTTTTAACTACTTGTTTAGATTAATGTCCTTTTGTAATTATTATAGGTCTGTTTGTATTTATTGTTCTGTTGAGAATCTGCACTGTGTGTTGCATTGTTTTGCACTTTATGTTCTGTTGCACCGTGATCCTGAAGAAACGCTGTTTCGAATCAGTATGTACTTGTACGTAGCTGAAATGACAATAAACCTCTCTGACTCAAGACTTCATTCAAAGCTAATGTTAGCTTGGCAAACTTAGCGTTAGCATGGACAGAAAATGTACAAAAAAATTTAACAAATATAACACAAGTAATCGTTTATCTTAAATTACAGAAAAGCACATTAAAACCACCATATAAGCTTCTTCTGAACTTGCTTTAAAAGGTTACAGGACAATAACTTGGTCCATCTTTATGTTGCAGTTAGCTACAAGCTAATTCTGCTAGCGTTACGTCACTGACAGGTTATCAAACACGGGGGGCGTTAAGTTGATCAGACCTAACCTAAACCATTCCTAAGTCAGGAATGAAACTTACGTGAAGTTTCTTATCTCTCAGAGCTTTTAGTCTTTCTTTTCTCTTCAGAGCCTGCTCCTGAAGCGACCCAGAGTTTTGCTCCATGTTTTTCACCTCACGCGACTCAATTCCTTCTGAAATCGATTCATCGACCTAGACCTAGACCAGGAGGACGTTTGCCGAGCGCATCGATCGTGTGACCTTTGTACTCGTGCGAAGATATTTTTCATTCATCGGTCAAACCTGCGAAGTTTGACATTTGTTTGATCTACGAATAAGTTATTGCTAAAAAAAATACATTTTAAACCATATAATTTACACGTATTAATTAATATCTCTCCTTATTACTTTAATAAGATGGATACAGTTAAATTCTGTATATGACTTTAAGTCGTTTCCATGGTTACAGCTGCCTCAAACTTCACTGCGGCCATCTTTCTCTGTGTGTAAACATAAACACCGTTGTATTTTTGGTTATAAATCTAGATATGTGGCCATGTTAGCTAACATGATATCTAATCTAACGTAGTAGCCAATCAAGATACAAATAACAATAATTACAGAATTTACAGAATTAATTAATTAATTTCGAACAGACAGTAAAAAGTAAAAACAAAGAAAGAACAGACAAAAAAGTAAAACAAAAAAGAAAAACACAATAATAATAATAAGAAGACAAATCATGCCATCTGACATGCAATATTTACACAATTTGTTCAAAAAGGAGCATGTAGAAGATAAAGATATTATGATTTCCTGCCCTATCATACACATCAGTATACAATCATTTTAGTCTCTCCACACCAACTAAACCTTATAATACTCCCACATTAAATAATGCTTAAACTTCACAATCTCATCTTCAAATGTACACAATTTTTTTAAATAGAATTTACACATTATTAGTATCAACAATAACATTTTTGGTCTTTGAGACACCAATCCTATACAACATATTTCACAATAAACTCATTTTTATACTGTTTTTTAAGCTGGTTTATATTTGTACTTTGTTTGAGCTCATCCTTTAATCAATTTCAGAGATCTGCACCATAGATTAGATAACAGCCAAATAAAAAACATGTCTTGATTATCTGTTTAATGAGACATGCAAGTGAGATGAACACTTTTTTTTGTTTCGTGTAGTATTTAGAAAGAAACATTTTATTTGAAATATTGAAGACAAAAAAAAATGTACAAGCACAGACAAAAACTGTGAAGTATGGTGAGTTAGAAGCAGCGAAAATAAATCACCAAATTCAATATAGACAGCTGGGCATAAACTAACCTTAGTTATTTGTTTTTTATTATTATTTTTTTAATAATAATAGTAATTCACAAAACTATTGGTACTTTAAAATGATTGTATGGACAGCTTTAAGGCTCTATGCAAAACATTGATGTTGTAATATGCTGTTGCCTTCCAATAAAGAGCACATTTTTCTCAGTGAAATATTTGTACATTTTACACTTTACTGTATTGAGGGCCTGCTCTTGTGCTGCCATAACTAGTGTCTCTGTGCTGTCCTCCAGTCCAGCCCTCTTTAGCCACTGGTAGGATTTACTGATTTCCACTTCCTCAGTCTGCTGGTGGTACATGTAGAGGCTTATCTTTCCATGATGGCTCCTCTTGTTCCTCCTCTTTCACATTGGGTTTCACCTGCTGCCTGACACATACACTCATCAGGGAGTTTCCTCCTGATGCCTTCTATACTGCAGGATCTTAGATGTTTCATCCTGTATAGTGACTTGGACGCTCACTAGTCCTCTGCCTCCGTCCTTCCTCTGAGTTTAGAGTCTCAGGCTGCTGGACTTGGGGTGAAACCCTCCATACATTGTGAGGAGTTTTGGAGTATTGATGTTAGTGGTTTCTAACTCCTTTGGCCAGGCTATTTTGCCAGCTGGGTATCTGATGATATATCCCATGCACACACATGTGTGTTTTTGTTTCAGGTTACCTTGTAGGGACCAATTTTTTTTTTAAAATCATGCACTGTGGGGACCAACTGCTCTTTATGGGGACTAAAGCCAAGTCTCCATAAGGCTAAGTCTCGTTGGGGAGTTAGGGGTTAGGTTTAGGACTAAGATGTGAATTGTGGATGGGTTAGGGTTAGGCATGTACTAATGGTTTGGTTTGGGGTAAGGGTCAGGGTTAGGCTAGATAAAATGAATGAAAGTCAATGCAAAGTCCCCAAAAAGTACATTTACAAGAACACACACACACATACGTAAATACATAAATACATACATTACTATAGGTTCTTGTTTGGTGTTTATTAGCTTAGATGAATAAAGTTTGAAGAGACAAGATATATTTGTAATATAACATTTTCTTCTTTTAATAAACAGGTGCCTCAGTAGAACCATATACAGCCACAACATCTGGGCACTTCTTTTTCATGCTACTCATTGGCTTGGTCACTCTGATGAGATGGCGTCTCATCCTTCCATCAGCATTTGTTGCAAGTCTATTTGTGTTGGTCACACTGAAATGAATGGGTTCCTCAGTTGTTTAATGGGGTTGAGCTCAGGACTGCAGGCAGGCCATTTTATCCTCACCGCTCTTTAATAATGGAGATAGTCTCTAATAAACCCCACTCTGTGTGGGGGAGCACTGTCACCTTAGAGGTCTGCAACCTTTAGGATCAAAACATCCATTTCTGCCCCTTCGTTCACTAAATTAAACGTGTCCAAATCTGCAAAACTTGCTACAGTTATTGTCAACTGGTGGGCATGTTTAAGTTTGTTACATGTACCATGGGCCACTTTAAGTTTGTTAGAGGGAGCTTTTCTGGCCAGTAGGCATGAAATTATAAAACTAAAAACACCTAATGATTGTTAATGTTTATTGATATTTTTACATTTTGAGACAAAAGACTGGATTCCATCCATCCATCCATCCATCCATCCATCCATCC